AACTCTGCTCCATCTCCCCCGCAGAGAGGGGGAGGGGGGTTTTTGGAAAGAACGCATACATTTTTGATAATTTGATTAGGGTAACAACCCCCTGCCATAGACAATCGTGCCTCTCTGTGGATGAACCTGAAGGATTTCAGCTTTCAAAGCCTGGTTCTCCCCCCACCCCCCCCCCCCCCATGCTGGGCAGAGTTTCTATAGTTTTCTTATTTGCAGGCAGCCTGGCCAATGGGGGCGGTGGGAGTTTTATTCCAAGGCTGACGTTAGAGGAGCTGCAGTGTTTCTCAGTCTCAGCCACTTTAAGATGTGTTGACTTCAACTCCTAAAATCCTCCAGCCAGCTTTTAGATCCATTTCCCAGTTATCAGGCCAGTGAAAACTAAATCAGGTGGGGACTCAAAGGGGTTCTTTCCCAAATTGGCACCTTCTAATCAGTGCTTCTCAACCTCAGCAACTAGGGAATTCTGGGAGTTGAAGTCCACACATCTTAAAGTGGCTGACATTGAGAAACCCTGAGCTACAGGAACAGGTTTCTACCTGTAGGTTGATCATCTCACCTCTGGATCCATGCAGGACCATCCCTGCCCCCAAGAGAAATCTTACCTGTCTGTCTCTCTGGTTTTCAGTCACCTTGTCTCTCAAAGATTACTTACATCCCACCCCCTTCAGCTCCTCCAGTTTGCCTCCAGCTCAAATTGCCATCTTTTTTTAGGAACAAGTTTCTAACTAGGTTGATGAAACCACACTGGGCCATCCCATGCTCTCTGTGGTTCCACCTGTTCACCTAAGAACAGGTGCTGCCTTCCTCTTCTCAAGGAAGAGAGGGAGGGAAGAAAGAAGAAAGCCAGCCTTCTAGAGCAGCGTGGGAGTAAAGAAAATTCCAGGTAGATTAATTTGCATTTGAAGTTGTTGACAAACTGTCTTCCCCAATGTGGCTTACATCAGGTATGCTTGGACCACAACTCCCATCATCCCCAGTCCAGATGATTTCCACAGATCCATAGTCACACAGTTGTCAGTTATCCTCTACCCTGTAAATTAGTTCCCTCAACCTGGTGTTCTCTTCAGGTGTTGATGGCTACACCAGCTGGGGCTTATGAGTATTATAGTTCATCTATCAAGTCCTCCTTGTTCCTCTGGCACTCATGTAGTTGTTCAAGGAACCAGAATTTTTTCAGGCTATGCAAACATGGGTTTAAGCATGGGGGTGATTTAGAGGTCCAGGTGTCATCCCAACTGTTGGCTTGAATAAACATTATAGGTGGGTAATAGTTGAGATCCTGGGCTGGCATCGGCGAGACTCTGGTTCAAGCCCACCTTCAACCATAGCAGCTCAGGGGAGGGCTTCGGACCAAAGAATTTCAGCCCAGCCTAACTCACAGGGTTGTCATAGAGAAAAATGCGAGGATGTAAAGCACCTTGGGCTTCTGAAGAGGTGGGACATAAATCCAGTCAATGAATGCACACCTCTGTCTGCCTTGTGGGGGCCATGTTTCTCATGCCAGGGTTCTTCTTTAAACTCAGCATTTGTTCAAAGCCAAGCCAGTACACTGGAGGGTTTGAATGCTACACCATTTGGTCTCCATCATGGAACAGAACGCCAACCTCTAGCCACCAGTAATTTTGCTGATACACAAAGGCTGTGGAATCTTTTAAAACATTTTAGGTTTATCCTGCTGGGTCCCCGGTCAATGACCATCAGTGTTTGAAGTTAATTTTTATTTGGCCTTGTGCAACTGAGAAGCCAAAGTTAAGCAGTCTAGCCCCCAAGCAGCCATTTGAGAATCAGACAGTGGTCTCTGCAGAGCTAACAGAGTTTCACCAGTTTTTTTTTCACACTGCTGGGACCCACTTCACTTCTACACATATTTTGGAGTTCCAGAACCTCCCCTCTACCTATTTCCTTTGAATGCAGTTTGTTCTCCCCTCCCCATCACCTCCTTTCTAGCAAAGCCATAACCTTTTTTATTTCAGATGTTCAACCAAGAATGCGTTTCTGCCATTTCCCCAGTTTCGGATCAGTTGCTTTATTTCAGCAAAAAAAGAAAAATCCAAAAGTCACAAAAGACACTACCAGAGGCCAACAAATTGTATTAAAAGGTGTAAGGTTTCATGAGCTGCAGCGCACTTTATCAGATGCTTTGTTTCAGCAGAAATTTGTGAAGGAGGGAATGACTGCTTTCCCCAAAAGCTCTTTTCTAAGATGCTTCCTGAATTTTGAGACCCTGAAAATCAATTTCCCCCCTTCACAGAAAAGGGAAAATAAGATGCCATTGCTTGTTACCCTCTGTAACAATTCTCTACTGGGGAAAGAAACCTGATTTTATAGAGGCAATGGATGATGGAAATTTAAATATGTTTGCAAAGAGGGGAGTTATAATTACAAAATAAAGTGCTAGTATGTTCATTTATGCCTTTCAGCTTTCCTTTTCAAACTATAAAGAAAACTTCTATAACACTTAGATGGCATTATTTTTATAGATTAAGTCCACACGCTGCGTGGATTCAAAAGCAAGCAAACCACATTGCGAATGATCTAGGTCATGTTTAACAAAACCCCCAAGATATATTCAGAAGACTCTCCAAACAGAGTTCTGTTGCAGGGGGTGACCTCCTTTAGAACCAGATTAATAACTGGAGAAACCCAGTCCCACAATTAAAACCCAACAGGCGTTGTTTGTCTGAAGTCAGCTTTATTTTCATGCTCTCTGGCTAGAAGCAATTACAACACATTCAACGTAGCCTGAAAAATCATCTCTACTGAACAGCAGATTTAGCATATTTACAGAGAAGAGCAAAAGATGTTCAGGGGCAACAGCTGCATTTGTTCAAAGAGGGGTCTTTGCAGACACAGCCTTTGGCACAGTTGCTGCAGCTCGCGGGGCAGCAGGAACAGCAGCCTGGAAGGATTCAAAGTAATAGGAGGTTAAGTAATGTGAGAAAGCAGGGACAGCAAAATCTTAAGCAGGGCAGAGGAGAAATTGGCAAGGCATGGCTAGTTTACACAAAGGTGCAATTCAGCTCTGGGAATTCAGTTGCAAGCATTCATAGCTTAGCAGACGGGAGCCACTTGGAATACAAATCAAGAATGTGGAAGAGTTCACAAAAGCTTTCATGCCTTCCAACTGGGAATTCCTTTGTGTGGTTTTTAAAAGATCTGTTAGAAGATTTCCCATTCTATCTTTTGATGTCAGACACTTACAAACTTAGTATAGATTGCATGGGTGTGCAAAAACTCAAGCCTCCGAATTGGTTTTTCCAAACTGGTTAATTAAATAAATGTAGAAGTTCCCAAATCAATTCAGATACTTGTTGAAGGCACAGAATTGGTTTTCTAGATCAGACTGAAAGTCTAAAAGGAACTGAGTTGATTCCACATCCAATCCTGATTAGACTGAATTTCCAAGCTGACAGCCAGATTTTGCCCAATTTACACACCCTAATAAAATGTTCAACCAAGAAGTATTTTATTACACCTTCAGTATCCATAAAACCTCTTTAGGTTGATCCAAGACAAGACATCCTTGCTCAGAATAAAACTCTAGAATAAACACATAGTATTAAACCTAAACTACACAGGAATTGCTTATTCTAATTGAGTACTCCATAGATCGATTATATAAATTGAAATATCAACATCTTCAAGAGCATCCACTCTGTCCATATGACCCGTGCATATTTATTCAGGATAGTCCTATTGACTCAATGGGACTTGCCTGGAATTATATTTTAAGTCTTGGGTCAAAACAAATGACTTACAATGTCCCCTCTTTGCAAAATCTTTGGATTTTAACCCCTAACCTGATTTTCTGGAAAACAAGACTCACTTTTTTTGCATGAAGTACATTTGCAATTTTTGCATTTGCAGGATCCATCACATGAGCAGCGGCCACCTGAAATATAACCAGGAGGGGAAAGAAGAAACAAATATCATTGCTTGAAGGGGCACATCACTAACCCCCAAAACATGCCTGTGATTCAACCCCTTTCACTAAGAATGGAGTACCTCCATATATAGGAACAGTTAAATCTTTTAACCCAAATGATCTTTTTTTGCCTGCTTTCCAGGAGAATTTTAAAATTCCTCTTTCCCTTGGACACTGCACATCATATATGCATCCATTAGCTATTCCCTTTCTCTTACAGCTTAAAACTGAAGTGAAATCATCTGAGTGTTAAGAATTAGCATTAAGGAGCACGCTAAGCTTCCTAAGACTTGTAATGGGTCAAGCTTGCCATCAAGCTGCAGCGTGGATCACATCTCAGTTGAACTGCTCTGGCCTTATTGGGGGGAAAAGTCGCTCGTTTCATTCTAAGGACCCAGGCTGACTTTCTAAGGAAGTCCTTGGATTTCACCCAGCTTTCAGGAGACTAAGTCAAGATGACTAGACTTAGACTTGTAGAAGATCAAGTTATTTCTTCAAAGGAATTACTGGGAAAGAGGACAAGCAGGTTTAGGGCAGTCTCTCTTCATTTCCCAGGAGTTTTAATCCCACATTTAAGGGAAAAAGCCAAGTTGGGGGTAACTTAGAAACAGGAAAATCAATTTCCCACTGAGAACAGCTGAACTGCAAAGAGACTAGGGAAATATGCATTGTTTTATCCAGCCTGAAGACAGCTGAGAGTTTTTTAAATTGGAAATTTGAGCAAAGTATCCCTAACAAGATGGAGTTGCAGAAAGCCTTAAAGCAGTGTTCCTCAACCTCAGCGACTTTAAGATGGGTGGGCTTCAACTCCCAGAATTCCCCAGCCAGCATGGCTGGCTGGGGAATTCTGGGAGT